CTAAATACTACACATGCATTACTCCCATTTTTAAATGAACATTCGAGAAACAGCAATTTTTAAAAGCTCAAAAAGGCCACTCCTGCCCACAACTCTCCCCCGCCCCCCCCCCCCAAGTTCCCCTGTTCCTCCAGACCTACTATAGCAAAATATAGTCTGGGAAACCATACAATCTCCCTTCCTCTCTCCATGTTCAAATGCAGGCTCTACTGCAAACTGAACTATTTGTTAGGCCAAACATGATATAGCTAGATCACGTCCTTGCTTGTTTTCATGTTTTCCAGGCCTGGAAAACCCTCCCTCCTCATCTCCACCAGTTAGAATCCTTCCTATTCTTTAAGCTCAGTTCGAAGTCCACCTCCTCCAAGTCTTCCTGGTCCCTTGTAGAACATCTTCCCCTCTTCTCAGGAGCTCCCCTAAATCCTCTCATGCTTCTAATTATTACTTCAAGTGCATTGAGGGCAGTGTTTCATGCCCCAAACCTTCTTTCCCAACAGCTGATCATGTCAGTTTCCTTTCTCAAAATCTTGTCCAGCTTCCTGAATTGCTCTACAAGGTCAAAGTAAAGCTTGATTGCATGGCTTTCCCTACTTCTTCCACTACATGGGACAATGCAGAGTCCCCACAAAAATCCACGTGCATTCCTACTCTTCATATTTTTGCTTAGACAGTTCCTTTGCTTGGAAGTTCTTTCCTCCCTTTCCATTTGGCAAACACCAACCCTTCTTTCACAACTCAATTCAAATATTCCCCCCTTCTATAAAGTTTTCCTGAGTACTCCTTCCACGCAGAGAGTATACTCACTTCACTTCATCTAGCCTGCCCTTATATCATTTGGCACTTCGAGTATATGTGTCTGCTTAGTTAGTCTCCAATTAGACTGAATTAATACAGGGTAGAGTATATTATGCCCAGAACCTAGCATAGGGCCTCACACATTGCAGGAATTCAACATATGCTTTCTGAATGAGTGCATGGGAAAATGATGTGCAAGTGAATATATGAATGAACAATTGTAGTAGTAAGTGCTCACTCAAAAGGGTCTTCAAAGTTTATGGAAAATGTGCATTACGACAAAATTGCATGAATTTCAAATTTTTTTTTACATCACCATAAACTTTTTTTTTTGACAGGCAGATTTTAGGGAGAGAAAGAGAGAGAAAGGTCTTCCTTTTCTGTTGGTTCCCCCCTCAAATGGCTGCTATGGCTGGCGCGCTGTGCCGATCCAAAGCCAGGACCCAGGTGCTTCCTCCTGGTCTCCCATGCGGGTGCAGGGCCCAAGCACCTGGGCCATCCTCCACTGCACTCCTGGGCCACAGCAGAGAGCTGGACTGGAAGAAGAGCAACCGGGACAGAATCCGGCGCCCCAACCAGGACTAGAACCCGGGGTGCCGGCACCGCAGGCAGAGGACTAGCCAAGTGAGCCATGGTGCCGGCCATCTACCATAAACTTTTTCATTCATTTCCCACGAACTTTTTGAAGCCTGCTCAAGTTAGCTTGTGACTAAGTCAATGAATGAGAAAAAGCAAGCCACTAACTCAATGAACAAAAAGGCCCAACCCAGGGAGGGCAAGAGAATGTCCTCCCACCACTATGTCTTGCTTGAAACCCACCAGGAAGACCTTCCACCTTGCTCTCCACCCATCTAAGCTGCACAGCATCATGGTCACCTTTTAGATTACAAAGAGCAGAGACATACTCAAGTTAACGATGTGGATTTATTAAAGCAGTCACAAGGAAATAAGCAAGACGAGAACAGCTACACAGGCAGCCTCACGGAAGAACAAAACTTGAAAACAGTTCATGATCCAAAGGCAGCTCTAGAGCCTGGCTTATTTTGTCACCCCCTCCGCGGCAGGCATCTGTTGCTCCCTTCTCTAGTGCTTCCCAAAATGGTGACTCAACTACTTTCTGGCTGTATTTATACTCCTCCTACTGCTACTGACTAACTTCTGCCTCCCTCGTTGCTAGCCCCATGGCTGGTGCTGCCTCACAGCTTCTAGGTCCTCCGCTGGCTCCTGCAGTTTCATGGTGCTTGGGGCTTCAGGTCCTATTACTCCACGGCTTCTGTGTCGTAGCTTCTGCTCGCCTCGTAACGCCTGCTGCCTCTTCAATTGTCGCTGCCCTGCTACCACGGGGTCCTGGTGACCTTGTGGCTCTGGCCGTTTCATGGCTTCTGCTGCCTCGTGGATCTTGTCTACTCAAGCCTTCTGCAGCTTCATGGATCTGTTTTGTCTCACGGTTTCTGTTCCTCACGGCTCCTGTTGCTTCATGGCGTCTGTATCCATTTGGCCACTGCTGCCTTGCCGCTTCATGGCTTCGGCTACGTTGTGGCCCCATGATCACACGATACAAACGTTTCATGAGCTCTGCTGTCTTATGATTTCTGCAGCTTTCTCTTTTGCTGTTGTTTCTGGTTAGCCCACATCCACCATCACTTCTGCCTCATGAACTTTTGATCATTTGCTTCTTCCGAACACCTCATTCGTCCTCCCTGAAAGATCTGATTGTTTCACGCACTCACCGTGTGATATGTGCCCTATGAGGTGGAGTTCCTGCATCAGTCCAGCATAGGCAGCTATGCATCTCAACCTGGCCATTTGTGGCAAGGACTGTGGGGTCACCTTACAGAGGGTGGCAACCTAGGTTAAAGAAACCCTCTGGAAGGGGCTGTAGGCATGGCCAGTTTGCCACGGACTTCCCTAAATGGGTACTGCAATCGGCAAGCATCTTGTTTGGCCTGTCTTGTACAGTATGCCCTTCAAAGCTCACCCAGAACCCCTTTACCCCGACCACTTCTGCCTGTCCTGATCTGCACTGGGATAGATCAAGAGCAAGGCTCTAAGAGGTGATGTGGGAAGGGAACTTAGGTTTCAATTCTGGCTCCAACACTTTCTAGTAGTGAGACACTGGGCAGTTAACTCCCTGAGGACCTCAGGAGAGGGTTGGACAAAGTCCCTAAGTTCCCTTAGGGCATCTCACTGTATGCTATTGTAGGAGAGATGTGAGGCTTACCTGGCAAAGCCCTCAAATCACCTCTTGAGGTAGGAAGGAGGGAGCCGGAGTCCTGGCTTGGAAGAGCCCCACTGCACAGGAGGGGCTTAGGCAATGTTCGTTGAATTGGATGCTTGGCTCAATGACTGGGAGGGGGAGTGGGAAACCACTCAGAACTGCACGGAACAGTCAACGGAACTGAGGGGGCAGCTAGGAGACTCGGACTCGGAGATGGATGAGGAAGACACCACCGGGACAGGGCAGGAGTTCTGGATACTCACGGGTACTCATTGCTGCCTCAGGCACCCTCCACACCACGTCCAGTTCCTCACCTTCCCTTAAGAGCCTACCCCTTGTCACCTCCAATCTATTCCTGCTGCCCTTGCCCTAGGGCAGGCCTCCAGGCCTCCTCACCAGTCTCCACTGCACGTTCTCCCTCACAATGTGTCCATTCGTTCACAAACTTTATTGGGTGCCTGTTTAGTGTGAGGCACTATGCTTTTTGCAGGGGATATACTGGTATCTATCCTGACCTGTTTCTTCATAGGCTGGCTGGCCAGAGCAGGCTTGTTCAACTGACATCTGATACGGGGTTCTCACCCGCCCCTGCCCTGTCTCCAAACAGCTTTAAGGCCCCTCCATTGTCTTCAAGCTGTGGTTGCCAAACTTGCTACACCCTAAAGTCAAGCTCCCAAGGCCCCACTTGACCTCCTGCAACTGCATGTTTTTAAGAGGATGGGCCTAGAATGCCCCACGGCTTTCCCATGTACAGCTGGCCTGGAAATCATACTAGCCCTCAAGGTTAATCTGAACCCCACAGCCAGGGACAGGACCCACCCCGCCTCCCGAATGGCTTTTTTCACTGCTCTTCCTCCATCCCGGGGATTTGGGCTTCAGTATTTCTGCGATTGCCTTGCTGGTCTTCCCACTACTTGGAAATCCCTACTACCAGTCCCTCCAGTCTCAGTTTAGAGATCACTGTCAGAGGTGCCTTCCCTGAATCCCCACCTAAGCTAGATGCCCCTCCTGTGCTGCCGCGAGAGTGCTGATCAGACCTTGTGGTCAGCAGCTATCTCTCAAATTGCCCCCCTAGTTAGACAGTGGATGCCTCAAAGGCAGGATAAGGATCTGACTCGTCCTTTGTGTTCCTGGCGTGCAACACAGCGATTGCCCAGAATCACAGGAGGCAGTGGGCAAGCAGTAAGGAGACCCAGGGTCTAGATTCTGACACTACAGAGTCCTGGTCAGACCACCGCATCTCCCCTACCCCCTCCTCAGGATTGAAGCCCCCGAAGCGCCTCTGTAGCATTTGTGTTCTTGTGGCCCAAGGCCTTAGCCCAAGGCACTTCATGTAATCCTTCAGACCCCGTGAGGTAGGGTTAGTTGTCTGGGTTATTAGCCACACCTACTGAATCAGAGTTCCAATGATGGGGCCCGATCCCCATGTCCCCTGGATGTGGAGGTGGAGCTAGGAACTGCCACTTTTCACTGTAAGCTCTTCTGTGCTATTCTGTTTCATTTTACTCTATACTATTTGGTATCTGTGAACATATTGCTGATTTTTAAAAACAGGGAACAGTTTTGCGAATGACTCTGTACAGCCAAGGTGAATAACCATCTCTATAATGGAGAAAACCCTAGCATGACTGGAGGACTGGGGCTCAAACCCATGCTGTTATCTGGTCATTCAACGTTTCCGGGCCTCAGTTCCCTCAACTGTAAAGTGGGGAGAACAGAAATTGCTATCTATCTTTAAAAAAATAAACTGTGATCTACATGCCAGGAAACTACTCCAAATCTATCTCAGGTACTCTTCCCTGCAGTGCTGCAAGTATGCGTCATCTCCTTTTATAAGGACCCTGGGGCTCAGGTCGGGTCACCTGTCCAAGTCTCCACAGCTATGCTTTGGGCCACGTCTGAGCCCTAAATTAACAGCCTTGGCCAACTTATGGTAGATGTACCACTGCTGGTATGTGACTTCTTTGGTTGAAGACAGACAAATGTATTTCGATAGTTATACCTTTTAATATGTATTAGAAAAATACATACATAGCACATCAAACCTGTGACTTCACAGCTATTACTACTTAGGGTGAAGCGGATGTAGATGACAATCAATGGGAGACCTCAGAACACCTCAAGAAAAAAATACTGAGTAAATACTACAGGAGGGCAATTTGGAAGTTATCTCTGAAAAACAAACATATACATTCCTGACTTCACAATTCCATTACGAGGAATAATTCCCCTCACCCCTTCTCTCTCTCTCTCACACACACACACTCACACACACTTTCACACAGGTATATGGATATTCCTGTGTATTATTTTGTAATAGGAAAAACTAAAAACAGTCTTAATGTCCACCCTAGAGAAATGGATAGTAAAATGCAGTAGGGTCATATGGTGATCCATACAGCAATTACAGAGAAGGGAATGATCTACACTTAGCAACATGCATAGATCTCAAACACATTGTTAGGCAAAGCAAGCAAACTGCAGAACAATTCAATATGCCATACGCATTAAACACAGTATTTCCAACGAACTTATCTATGTAAGAATGTTAAAACAAAGTCTAAATGAAGTATAACAGCAGGGAAGGGACAGGGTGGGGAGGAGCGGGAGGGGGGAGTAGTCGGTAGCTGAATGAGGCTTGTCTTGTCCCTTGTCTGTACAATCTAATTGCTTAAAAGGAGAATGGATTCCTGCATTACTTAGGTAACTGGAACCGATTCAACTTAAACGACAAATATACAGACAAGACCAAAGTCTGATGTGTACAAGCGATAAAGGCTGAAGCCCTCGTGCCAGGCGTTACTGCCACTGCATGGTCCTTCTAGCTCAGGAGGGGAGTCCCTAAGAGGAGTCTCACGTGCGTTAGGCTGGGATGTGGCCCAGGCTACCTCTTCCCTGCTTCCTCACAACCCAGGCTGGAGCCCAGGCACCTGGTTATCATCCATGGCTGAAGCTATAGGTTTACCCCGGCCCTCCACTTACCAGGTAAACCTCATCAGTGCCCTGGAACTCTCCCAGTTACCAGGGCATTTACAACATCTCAGATTGTCCCTAACGGCCAGGATGAGAAACCCTCGGAAGCCCAGGCATGAGAAGGCTTGTATTCTGAGAGGTCGGCACCTAGTGGGCTCCACACAAGGATAAGGCCTCCAGTGAGGAGCTTGACATCGTTAAATCCTATGAGGTAGGTAATATTCTCAGCCTCATTTTACAGATGAGACAAGTGAGGCACAGCAAGGCCAAACGACTTGCCCAGCGTCAAACTGATGAAAAGTGGAACCAGAACCCGTAACTGTTCCCAGAGCCCTTTGTTCTGATCTCAGTGCCTAACTAAAACCCTACCAGTCTGTCAAGGTCCAGCTTAAATGTGACAATTACCAATTACCTGGACGTAACTGTCCTCTTCTCATATTCAAAGCACATAGCAACGTTCAGCTAACCCCAGTAATTCATGAACCCATTGTATCTCCTTACCAGGACAGAGAGCATGCATGGTTCAACTCTCAATTCCAAGCACACAGTCGCACAGAGGGCACTCCATATGTGTTTGACGAACAGACAAGTGAATGAACACACAAGTGAGTGAGTGAGTGAGTGAGGACAGCTTCAGGTGACTGCTGAGGACTCCTAGGAGGCCTGGAGCACCTTTGTCCAGCTCTGGAGTGCTGTCATCCTAAGTGCTCTTGGAGTCAAATTCATCCTAGGCTCCTTCTAAAACAGTCTCCAGTATCTTTTATTTTTCTGCACACACATGCACACAGGTGAACACACATCCACACACACCCACACATAAAGTGGGCAAAATACCCAAGGGACCCATGAGTATGGATGGGGGGGGAGGGTCCGGGCAGGGGAAGACAGACAGATGGTCCTGTTCAGCCCAGCTCAGCTCAGCGCCTCCTTTCAGAGACCAGGATGCTCCCTGTGGCTCATGACTTTTTGCTCCAGACCTAACATCATCTCTGTTCCTCTTCACGCTTGATAGCAGTGCTAAATCCCATGACTACACCAAACAGGGCTAGAAGGTAAGGGAAGGTTGGGAGCCACAAATATCCAAAGACTGGCAGAGGGGCAGTTTAGGGATCCAGACAGGGCAGAGGGCAGAAACTACTGTTACTGCTCATTGGGGTTGGGGTTGGCATCTGGGTACTTGGTGAGGTCGAAGGTCAGGACTTTGCTGATCACACAGTCCCCTTGCTGAAGGAGGAGGGAGAAAAAGAAAAAATAAAATTGTGAGGAGAGAACTGAGAGGGGCCTGGTGCCCTAAGACCAGGGGATCTCAAACCCTCCTCCCTACATACCTGCCCAAAGCCCAGGCAATGGTACTCTCTGGGTGTGAGAGGATGTGCTCGGCCCCACGCACCTTCTCTCCCTGCCTACTACCTCTGCACTCTCCTCCTTTCTCCACACCCTGTCCCCAAATGCAACGGCCCTGCCCAGCTGGGCTGGCTAAGCTTCCAGGGCAGGGCTCCAACAAGCCCAGATGGCCGTTCAGGACCTGGTTCCCTATGCTCCCCCGCCCCCTTGTCCCTCCATCGCAGCCTTCCCTTCCTGCCCTGGGGAGTCAGGTAGGGAGTAGGGCTTGCTCTTGAGCCTGGCCCGCCCTACCTCGGGATAGACTCCAATGAGGCTCTCAGCCTTGGTGTAGAACTCTTCCTTGAGAGAGATGACGATGGCCTGGAAGTTGCAAGTCGACTGCTCCTTGATGTAATTTGCTACCTGTGGGAGGGGCCACCAGGCACTTAGCAGAGCTTAAGCCCTAATGCACCCCTGTGTTTTTCAGTCAGAACCAGTAGGTGTGGTGTGTGGGGTGGTAAGGTGGGGAGGGGGAGGAAGAGAAACAGAGAAGGAAGCTATCAACTACCACAGTGTGTGGAGGACCCTGCGCCCAGCCACCAGGGCACAGAATACAGGCAGCAGGAGCAGGTGGGGCACTCAGGAGTTGGCTCCCTGCAATCCAGCCCCAACCTGGGGTCTCCCTCCCAGGCCCCACTTTCCTTGCACCCACCTTGCCAATGTTGGTGTTATCCAAGGCAGCATCGATCTCATCCAGGACGAAGAAGGGGGCTGGCTTGTAGCTGGGAGGGAACCAGTAGGTGAGCTGACACTGAGGGGGGAGGGGCGGCAAGGCGGGGTGGGACAGCCCCAGGGCCCATCCAACAGGCCAGCTTCCCCCTCCACTTCTTCTGAGACTGAACAACCTAGGCCTCAATGCTGCCTGAGCTGCCAAAGGCCAGTATGTCAACAGAGGCCGCCTCTGCACCCAGCCCTGTGCTCCAGGATCTGGGAGAACATGGATTTTTCAGGAGCTTCTTAGCTGGCTGGGAAAACAAAGCTGTCCGTGGATCTGGCCACACTGACCAAGCTCCCCAGAGGTCCAGCCCAACACACGCCACGCTGTTGTGCCTTCTTGCCACTGCATGTGCTGTACCTGTAAGCCTAAAATGCCTGCTGGTCCCACAGGCAAACTTCTCAGTCTTTACATCTCCTGCTCCAAGTGCTGCCTACCCTTAAAAGCCTTCCCTGGCCTACCCACAGCCTCCCCCAACACTGGGTTAGGTGTTACCTCCTCTGTGCAGCCATGGTACCCATGCTCACTCAGTTTGGGCACTTGGCACGCTGCCTGTTTACATGTCTGGCTTCCACTTAAGACATGTGAGCTCCTCTAGGCCAGAGACCATGTGACTCATCTGTATGCCCAACCCCTCCAGGGGGTCTGACACACAGCAGCACTCAAGAAATGCTCACGGGCTGACGCTGTACACTGAGCACTACGTGCTGGGGGTCAGGCTCAAGTACTACTGGCATTCAGGAGGGGGAGGGCAGGGTATGCCAGAGTGGTCAAAGACGGTGTCCTAAAGGAAAGGGAGGAGAATGCGGAGGTGCGCAGAGGTGGAAGGTGAGGGTAAAGCTAAAGTTGCATGGAAAGGGCTCACTAGCTAGCAACCCTGTAAGCAGAAGCCTGAAGGTGGGACTGAAAACAGGCAAGGGCCAGTGAGGACATGCTGAGGGGGTGAGGGGGGATGGGGAAGACAGGTCCAGGAAGACCAGGGCCAGGGCTGCTGCCGTCAGTAGGGAAATGGGGACGCAATCCAGATCCCACCAGAACATCTTCACCTCTGCAGATCTCTGCAAGCCTTGGGCCCCAGGGCCTCTGGTGGCTTCAGCTGAATCTCTCGGTCAACTGCCTTGGGAGGCAGCCTTACCTGTGGATGGCAAAAAGCAGAGCCAAAGCTGCCACTGTCTTCTCCCCTCCTGACAAGTTGTCCATAGGCCGGAAGCGTTTGCCAGGAGCCACGCAGTTGTAGTTGATGCCATCCAAGTAGGGCTCCTCTGGGTTCTCAGGACCCAGGAATGCCTGGGTCAAGACAGACAGGTTAGGATCCAGACCTGAGCCTGCATGATGGCTTAGAGACAGGAAGCCTGGAGGGGAAGGCCAACTGAAGCTGGGTGGAGTTGGTTAGGTAAGGGGCTCCAACCTACCTGGGCACTGCTGTTGCGGGACAGAGCCTTATAGATCTCATCAATGTTGGTAGCCACAGATTCAAAACAAGCATTGAAGCGGTCAAAGCGCTCCTTCTTGATCTGTTCGAATGCCTGCTTGGCCTTCTTTGCTCGCTTTCGGGCTGCCTCAAACTCTGCCAGAAGGAAAAAGAGAGGACCCCTCAGGGCCTTGGCTCTGCCAGGGCAGAGGACTAAACCCTGGCAAGAATGATCTGCAAATGACGACCCAGAGCAGACACATCCCACAGAGGGAGAGGAATGCCTGAAGAGGGTTATACAGAGAGGACCCCACATGGCTCTGCACCCAGCGTGTCAGCCACCAGATACAACGCAGAAGAAACTGGGGCCTAGAGACATGTAAGTGTGGACCACCACCACCCCTCCCCGGGCCCTACCAGCAACCAGCTGTGTAGCCTTGGGTAAGTTGTTGACCCTGACCTCAGCAGTTTTCCACAGTTTTGGTGGCCCCACCACGTAGGGTTCCTGGAAGTCTTACGTCACGAAGTATGTCAGAGACAGGAGCATGGCTGCAGCCTCCTGCCCTCGCCCTGGGCCCCCCGTACAGGGGCAACTCTTACCATCAGAGGTCTCCTGGAACTTGTCGCGGACACTCTCCAGCTTTTCCATGGCTTTCATGTTGGGGGCAGCAATACGCTGAAGCACACTCTGCTGCTCATTCAGCTTCTGCTGCAGTGTGTTCATCTCCTGTTTGATCTCCTCCTCAGCCTGGGCATCCTGTAAGCCCCAGGACCCACGACATCAGGAAGGGCCTTGCTCCTGTGCCCAGGCCTCCCCACAGAGATGAGGGACCAAATGGGGCTTGGGTGCCTTGCTTCTGGGCAAATTCAGGTTCTTCCCCAAGTCGGCTCTTTCCACCAGATCCTCCTACCCACATAACCATTCCCACCATGGCTGGAAATAACAGGCTGACGCGGCTTTCTCATCTCTAGCCCTTCCCCCCAGGCTCTGCCAACCTCTCTGTGTCTCAGGAGGAGCAGCTGGTGGTGCCCCTCTCTGGCTGTCAGCCCAGGCCAGGAGCCAGCACCATCCCAGGGTGACCTCGAGGCTCCCACACAGGCTGCCCTGGACTCGACTTACAGCATCACAGTGTTTAAGTCAACTCATATTTTCTGCTTTGATCATTAGAGCTGAGCAAATCTCACCTGAATTTGGTTTAAGGTGTTATGGATATTGCAGCAAATGCCTGGGTTTGTGCCTTTCTGCCATTTTTTAGTCAACACTTCTTTAGGGGCAGCCACGGTAGCACAGCAGGTTAAGCTGCTGAGAGGGATGCTTGCATCCCTTACCACCGTGCCTGGTGCTGAGCCCTGGCTACACTGTGCTTCTAATCCAGCTGCTTACTGGTTGAAGCACCTGGAAAAGTAGAGGAAGATGGCGCAAGTGCTTGAGCCCCTGCCACCCACGTGAGACACTCAGATGGAGTTCCAGGCTCCTGGCTTCAGCCTGGTCTACCCATGGTGGTTGTAGATATTTGGGGAATAAACCAGCAGAGGAAAAGATCTATCTCTGTGCCTTTCAAATAAAATGACAAGAATTTTTCAAAAAGGGTAATGAACTTGAAACTTTGCTTCAAAAGCAAAAAACTCAAGAAAGCAACATAGCAGTAGTAGTAACTATATGTATACAGATTCCCATGTACACAAATGTGTTGGGGAGACTTTCTCCTGAGGGAGGCAAGGAAACACACGTACAGAACGATTTCTGAAAGCCAAGCCTTTCTGAAGCTCTCTGTACACCACTGTGGAGCAGTATCCAGGACAGGTTTTTCAGTGAAATATGAAAGGCATACTACAGTATGCTCTTTTATTGAAGAGGGAATATGATTATATTTGTATTTTAAACAACAAAAAGGGATAATCCAAAAACTAATTAAAGGATTACCTACAAAGAGAGATAAAAGGGGTAGAAAGAGAAGTTAAAGGTTCTCTTCAAGTACCTTCTTTTATACATTTGGTTTTAGAACAACATGAAGATGTTATATAACTATAAAACAAAATTAAACCAAGGTCAGTGTTGTTGCACAGCAAAATAATCTGCTGCCTGTGACACTGGCATCCAATACTGAAGTGCTGGTTCCATTCCCAGTCACTTCTTTCTGGTCCAACTTCCTGCTAATGCACCTGGAAAAGTGCTTGGGCTCCAGCTACCCACATGGGAGACCAAGATGGAGTTCCAGGCTCCAGGCTTCGGCCTGGTCCAGCCTTGGCTGTGTAGTCATTTGCTGAGTAAACCAGCTGATGGAAGATATCTCTTTCTGTCTCTCCCTCTGCCTTTCAAAGAAATAAACAAATCTTAAAAAAAAAAATTAAGTGTAGGGGGTAGGGGCTGGTGCTGTGGTGCAGTGGGTTAAAGCCCTGGCCTGCAGCACTAGAATCCCATATGGGCACCGGTTCAAATCCCAGCTGTTCCACTTTTGATCCAGTTCTCTGCTATGGCCTTGGAAAGCAGTAGAAGATGGCCCATGTCCTTGGGCCCCTGCACCCCCATGGAAACCCAGAAGAAGCTCCTGGCTCTGGATCAGCTCAGCTCTAGCTGCTGCAGCCATTTGGGGAGTGAACCAGCAGATGGAAGACCTCTGTCTCTCTCTCTCTGGTTCTACCTCTCTCTGTAACTCTTTCAAATAAATAAAAGAAACAAAAAAAAGTTGGGGCCTGCTCTGTGGGGCAGTGGGTTAAAGTCCCAGCCTGCAGTGCCAGCATCCCACATGGGCACTGGTTTGAGTCCTGGCTGCTCCACTTCTGACCCAGCTCTCTGCTATGGCCTGGGAAAGCAGAAGATGGCCCAACTCCTTGCACCCATGTGGGAGACCCGGAAGAAGTGCCTGGCTTTAGATCAGCTCAACTCCAGCTGTTGCGGCCATTTAGGTAGTAAACTAGCAGATGGAAGACCTCTCTCTCTTTGTCTCTACCTCTCTCTATATAACTGTCTTTCAAATAGATAAATACATCTTTAAAAAATAAAATTAAGTGAAAATGCATGAATTTAGGGGTAAAAATATTGTTGGGGAACAACATATTCGCAAGATGCCAAAACATCACCCCAAAGATTACTTATTAATTAATGTCAAATGCAAAAGTATACACGAAGCATTCAGGAACCTGGCAATTAACATTTTAACAACTCAGCACCACCAACAGTGGGCACTCATGATAGGAAGCACTTCTTGGCAGGTGCAGTACAAGGTACGTGGTGTCTCATGAATGCAGAGCTCTTGCCAAGGAAAAAAACCCACTGATCCCCAGACTACATGTAATTTCTAATTTATAGGAGATAGAAGGGTTGGAAAAATAGGTTAAATGATACATTCTACAAAGAAACTAACAAGTCTCTAATGCGGTACGTTTTCCATGTGAGTTCACATCGACTCTTCAGAAATCAGTACCATCCAAGAAAGTGAAGGGACTCCTTCACATTAACAGAAATTAAAGGGGCAGACATTTGGCCTAGAAGCTACGATGCCGCCTGGGAGGCCTGCATTCTACTTCAGAGTGCCTGGGTCTTAGTCCTTGGGTAGAGTTTCCATGCTGCTCCTGATTCCAGCACACACCCTGGGAGGCACCAGGTGATAGCTCAAGTGACTTAGTCCCTGCCACCCAAACAAGAGACCAAGACTAAGTTCCCAATTCCTGGCTTCAGGCTAGCCCTGTCCTGAGCTACTGCAGGCATGTTGGGAATGAACCAGTGGATGAAAGATATATCTCTCTTCTCTCTCAAATACTTAGAGACAGAAGGGGTGGGTGGGTGGGGGAGACATAAAAAATCCAAAAGCAATTCAATAAATCTTGACTTGATCCTAGTTCCACCAAAGTGTGTAGGGGGGAGGGGGTCTATGAATACTCTTGAAGCATCTAGGAAAATTCAAACATGGATTAAATACTAAATAATATTTATTCTCTTAGGTATAATGTGGAATCGTGGCTATATGAGAACCCCTTGTTCTTAGCATGCTGAAGAATTTAGGGTTGAAGTATCATAAGGTCTATACTTCCTTCAAAAGGCTCAGGGATAGGCATTTGGTACAGTGGTTAAGATGCCACTTAGGAGCCCCGCATCCCATACTGGAGGGCCTGTGTTCGTGTTGCAGCTCTTTTTCTGATTTATTTATTCTAGTGCAGACCCTGGGAGGCAGCAGGTGATGGCTCAAGTGCTTGGGTTCCTGCCACCCACATGGGAGACCTGGATGAAGTGCCAGGCTGGCTTTGCCCTGGCCCAGTCCCTGCTGTTGCAGACATTTGGGGAGTTCAATTGGAGGATGGAAGAAGATCTCTCCCTTTCTGTTCCCCTGTCTTTTGACTTAAAAAAAAGTGAATGTAGTAGAGAGTGGAGAGAGAAGAACTAGAGATAAGAATCTCAATGTGGTAAAATATTCATTGATGAAAATAAGGTGAAAGGTGTATGGGTGTTCACTGTTGTTTCAACTATGCTATAGATTTAGAATATTTTAATATTATAAGTTGGGAAAAGAACAAGTCAAAATGCTAACATGAACAATCCCTAAAAATTTGAAAACAAAGTAAAAGAAATCTATATATTAAGTTGGTTGAACATTCAAAGAATTCTTTCAAATTACTTTAAAACACAGGAAAAAGACTATACATGCTCAATGAGCATTTAGCTTATGATAAAAAGAACATCAAGGAAATTTTGAAGCTATTTAAAACTGCACTTAATAATCAAACTGATACTAATAATATCTTAATGTGATTTTCAAACTATTATATACAGGATAGGATAAAGTAAATAGGTTACTATGTTAGTGTTGCTAGGAACCGAGATTTTCAGCAAGAATCACTGGAGACTCAAACACAAAATCAATGTTAAGCTGTGAACGGTACGATTTCAATTGAAAGTATCAATGTGAACTCATTATGACACATTTTTCCTTCAAAATAAAAAAATGTATTTCGTAGCCCAAGCTACTGAAAAGTTCTAGAAGCACTGACCAACCCCCAACAGTCATGATCACTCCATTATCTAGATGGCAGTTGCTAAATTATAGCATTTCCCACTAAAAGAAGTCAGCTTCTCAGAGAAATGGCTGATTCCGGGTCTAGGGTGGGAAATGTCGAAGATGAGCCCAGACATATCAGAAAGCAAGGAGGATATTAAAGACTACAAGGTTGTGTCAAAATGACTCACAAGTCAAAGATGGGATAAGTGAGCACTAAGAGGGCTAATAACCACAACAGACTCAAACACATCAAAGGAAAATAACACGGTGAATAAATCTTGAGAATGCCAAGGAACCAACTCATCATTTTGTAAACTGACGAATAAAGGGAAACAATCAAGCAGATACGTTTCCTATACAAACTGTATCGCAGAGTAACGGACGAAATGATAGCAATTCTCTCTCTACAGTATTCCAGCCAACAAAGAAATGACAGAACAAGATCATTGTTTGGCAGTCCTCAACGGATTAATGGAGCTGGGTAATGATCATCACAGCCGGGAACCACAAAGTCCTGCACCCAGATGTTATGTGTTTCCTAATGGAAGCAACTACATTACCTGTGAATAACCACACCCACAACAAACAAGTCAACCCCAAAGACTAGCATCTAATCAGGCCTCTACATTGGTGCTGTCCAATACCATCCCTGCTAGCCACATGAGGCTCTGGGCACATGAAATGGGGTAAGGGCGACTGAGGAACGAAAGTTTTAATTTTACGGGATTTTAAGTTCATTTACATTGAAAAACTGATCCTTAAT